ATGCAGAAGTGCACGGGAACGCAAGAAGCACTATTTCCTGTAAAAACGTCAGTCGGTTTGTTTACATGTCATTGGTACAACACTGATTTGGCTGAAATATCACTAAATAATTATTAAAATCTATCCATTTTTTAACAAATATAAGGTTCTTTGCTTTCACTGCTTTTTGTTTTTGCTTGCACATGCAAATCAGCTGATCGTTTGACACTTTTCATGAACTTACAGGAAAAAAACTCCGGACTAAATCCTGTAACATCTGACTAGGAACAGTTGCTCAGTTACTCTCTTTATGTCAATAGGAACGACTTCCTGTAAGTTCTGACTAAGGGCCGGTTGTTCAAGGTCTGGTTATCACTACCACTACACTATCGACGATTTCGACATCATGCATATAACATGTGATCGATAAAGCAGTCGTTGTATATAACCAGAGCTTCTACCTCCGATTAGTGCATACATTGAACAACCGGCCCTAATTATATCGAGATGAGAGACTCGACTGCTTCTTTAATATTAGTCTATTCCAATAGCAGTCCGGTTTACAGGATTTAGTGAGAACTTACAGGAAGTCGTTCCTATTAGAAGTGTCAAACTATCGATGGTACTATCGATAGTCCTATTTTTTTGCCCCTATCGATGTGTAGTCATGAACGAAAGACACAGGATCACGTAAGAACAAGAGAGTGAAAAAAATCGATTTTTTAGCGGGTTCTATGCCATCTTGTTTCACTGGAAAACGAGCGAAAAGTAAAGGCTCTGTTATGCATACTTGGCATTGCTTGAGAGTTGTCACATAAGGAATCTGTTAAATGAGCTTCGCGTGTAAGCTGTTACCCAACGCACAGCATTACATACGTAAAAGTCTGTTGGTTTTTGATTTCTACGTAAAAATGGTATAGCAGTGCATGCAATGCCAAGTATGCATAACAGAGCCTTAAACAAAGCAAAGAAAACAACGAAAACCAAAATTAGCCAAAATTATTGTCAGCCTCATTAAATGCACAATTTAGGTAAAATGATGCAACAAAATGCTTTAAAATGTGTTGTCATGTTGAATTAACTCTTCTTTACTTGAATAAAAGTGTAAAATAGTGGTACTTGTGATGTAAACAAACGCTCAGCTGACGAAACCGCTTTCGCAAGCTTTTTTCTCAAAACCAGTTACAAATACAACGTCGCGTTCTTACGTGATCTTGTATTTTTGGTTCATGATGAGTAGTGATAGTTTTTCTCAAAAAA